TGTAATTACGTATGTACCCTTATACTCTATTTGAAAATGGAGTATATACCTCCGTTTTGAAGTGTTTATAAGTTCGATCATTCATTACAATAAAAGTGATGTAAATTAATTTGGGTTAATGTTTTAAAAAATTAAAGCCAATATCAATTATAATGAGCGCCACAAATTCCCGCTTAACTATAAAGCAAAAAAAAATACTTGCACTCCGTAGTTAAGAGCCCAAATATATCTTACTGCCATGTCACCAATGCAAAGGAAAGCTAGAAAGCCAAGTCTTCCTCTTCTTAACCTCATTTCATCCTTTTTTTTTTTTTTTTTTGTCTGTTCATCCCGTATGTTTATCTAGTGACCAGAAGACAGTACCAATAACACCCTTAACATTCTCGGAAACCGACGCTGCCCTTGAGTAGAAGAATAGTTACAAGAATAAAGTTGAATAGGAAGTGAATGTAGAAAAATTTAGTAGAAAAGAGAACAGTTTGACGTATCATTGGAGAAAAAAGGCCAGCAACAATGAAGAGAGTGGTAGGCTGTTAGCTAAGAGAAGAGAGAAATTTGCGGGGATTGATAATTTGATATTGTTACACAAAATTTCATACGGAGTAAGTGTGTGGTTTTTTGTTTTTTCGAATTATTAATCAATCTGATTTTAATGGGTATTTATAGCACATATATGGAAAAAATTGTCGAAGAAGCTAAAATAAGTTTATTATCCAAGTTATTTGGAAGAAGCTTCAACGATGTTTGTATTTTATTAAGAATTATAATAATGATGAGGTGGAACCGCGGGATTACCGTGGATATTTCAAGTTGGGTTGGGAGTTATACGTGCAACTATATAAGCTAAGCATTATAATATTGGTCAATTGCGATGCACACTACTTAGCATTAATCATAAGTCCGGCTTTAGCTCCCGTTTAAATAAAAGGTTTAGCACAAATTCGACCCTATATTTGCTAAATTGAAATTTTTTTGTACTGACCTAAAACTATTTTTACTAAATCGAAATTAATTTTATTGAAGTGAAATTATTTTTAGTGATTTTTCTATTATAATTTTTCTTTAAAGTAACTGATATTTACTGAACTTAAATTATCTTTACTGAAATGAAACTTTTCAAAGACTTTATTTATTTTGTTGAGAAGATCAGATTCTATGTTGTACTTAAATGGATGGTTTTCATGTTGGAAAATCACGTTAATACATACGGAGTATTTGGATTTTTTTTTTTTTTTTTTATTTTAGGGGCAATAATTTGGATAATACAAAATTTGGACATTAACTTTTTACTTTCTCTCCCTGTTCACTTATATAAAAGAGATGATTTTTCAATACTTGTCTCACACTATAATCCCGGAACTCTCATTCTCACATATGAATCCTCCGATAGGATCTATCTTCATGCAATTATCCTCCAATAGGATCTACTCAAGTTTCTATTGTTTTGGAAAACATAAACAGTACAAAACCGTCCTAAATTTGGAAAAAAAAAACTCTAGTCAACGAAAATCACCAAAGTTATCCCTAAAATACACGTGTCACATTTACAATAAAAAAATTTCCGCCAAAAACTTTTAATTTTTTGTTTATTTTTCTTTAAAAATAACATAATAAAAAAGTCAATGAATAAAAACTTAATTTGTAAAAATATTTTAAATAAAATATCTAACAAGAGAGTTTTAGGATAGACATTAAATGAATTCAAATTTCAAAAAATAAAATGTTATACAAGTCATTTCATTTGAACCAACTTCATTTTAATTGATTTTTATTATTTTCAAGTCTTATTATTATAAAAGCGTGCATTATACGGAGCAAAAACTAGTTTTTTTTTTTTTTTTTTCTTTGAAGGGGGGCAAAAACTAGTGCTTTACAAAACAAGCCATTTGCTATATTAAAAATGAATTCCAACCCGTACTTCTAACTTCTCAATCGAAATCTCCAAATTAAAGTCTCGTTGTATTCCCAAATTACCACACCAAATTCCCCTTACGATCGAAACCATGGTTGTTCACGTCATCATCATATCGTGAAGAAAAACTGCTTTCGCTCTCTTCATCATGCGATCTTATGTTTACAATGATGTCTTCATATTCATTAGTGCCAAGACAACGAGGATTATTGTTGGAGTGGCCTCGGCGGCCAGTGTGGCATTTCTTGAGTAAAATCAAAGTAACAAGAATGAAGTTGAATAGCAAGTAAATGTAGAAAATATTATCTGAAAAGAGTTGATGGAAAACGATTTCTCATATCAAGGGAGACAATAAGGCTGATATAAGGAGGAAAGTGGAAGCTAAGAAGAGAGGGAAATTTGAGGGTGATATTTTTACGATGATTTTCATATGTTTACTGAATTGATTAATTTTAATTTTTTTTGGTAAGTACTGAATTGATTATTAATAATATGATTTTCGTGGGTTTTTATAGCAAATCTGGAATAAGCACGTTTTTTTTTTTTTGGGCGTTGAAAGCAACTTTATTTGCGTACGCCTCCTTTTAATTGCAAAAGATCACGTGATGAGCTTCCGAAGTTCTGTGCAGAGGCAGAGCCAGCTAAGGACCTGGGTACGTGCCCTACCAGCCTAACAAAAAAATAAAAATAAAAAAAGAAGTTTAAATTAGTATTTTGAGTTAAATAGATATAAACTGTGTAGTTATAATCAAGATTTTCAGCAGCCTAGTGGTTAGAGACTTAGAGTCATGAGTTCATTTCTCTAGCCTAACATTCAATTTTTGTTTGGTTTTTTTTTTCTTTTATCTAGTTTAATTGTAATTTTTTTTTTTAATATGTCTTTTAACATATGCACACTCGAATTATATATGATATATTGGATCATGTGTGTTTAGTGATTTCAAACCCATAAGAAGAACATTGTTTTATAAAATGGATCATTGCTTAGAGTCTTGAATAGGTCAGTGTAATATTTAATGGATTTGGAATAACTACGTAAAACAAATTTGAATCTTGATATTAAGAACAATCTTTCACGATTGCTATGCGGTACGTAGTTGTGTCTTGATTTCTTTTTTTTTAATTGAAAATTAAAGTTTGAGGAGACAAATTTTAGGGGCTTGATAAAAGAAATTCCAAACGGCATGGTGCCCTACCATTGGCTGAGCAAAATTATCCGAAAAACTGAAAACCCGAAAATCCGAATAGTAATCGAACCGAAAATTAGGGTACCCGTTCTGATAACCATAATGGTTCGGGTACCCAATCCGTTAATTTGTTATCGGGTACGGTTATTGGGTATCATTTTAAAATTAACGATTACTCGATCCGATCCGATAAACAATTCTTTCATTTTTTTTCCTACTTAAATCTATTTATCCAAAATCTAACTCTTACTTTACTTCATAATCACTTCATAATTTAAATGGTTAGTAATATTATTAGTAATTTGTTAATTAGTGTTGAATGATATCATAATAACTAGATTATAAAGTCTAAATTTTCATTATTGGATAGCATATTGGGTACCGGATAACTAATCCGAAAATCTGGGTACCCGAACTTATCAATTCAGTTAATTAATATCATATTTAGTGTTATTGGTTATCGGGTACCCGAACCGATAGTGTTAACGATACGGGTACCCGACCCATGCTCACCCCTACCTACCATTGTTAAAATCCTGGCTCCGCCACTATAATTCGGTGCACAATAACATTAACGTGGACCGGGTCTAAGCAAGCCAATTTTACTAATTAAATATGCTACTAAAGAAAGTTATTTCTCTCTCCTCTCATTTTCGTAGATTAATCGATTGGCTTATCTCTCCTCCATTATAAGTCGCTTCATAATTCTCATCTCTTTATTTTAATTTCATTTCACTTTTTGAATCATCGATTAATTGATGCTCTAAGAACCCTAACTTCTTGTGCAAAACCCTAATTGTGTTTATGGGGAAATTACCATACTAAAGTTTTTTTTTAAGTATTGTATATTTAGAAATGTAGGTTTTGGTTGAATCAATCCATTTGATTGCTTGATTAATTATTTTTTTACGGTGTCTTTTTATCTCGATCTCTCACCGAAACGTTTATTATGTGACTTTGAGGTACATTTAAATTTTTTCAGATTTTTTGTGCAATTCGTATACATTTTAGTGTTGGGTTGTTAGTTGTGTATACATGTTTACGTGTGGTTTGATTATTTTTGTTTTTATTTACCAAAAAAAAAAAAAAAAGGTATTTGGGGGAAAATCTTTGTTTTATCTCTGATAGAATGAATGCGAAAGACCGTCTGTCAGATGTTTAAATATCTAAGTATGGACTGGGAGTAGGAACTTTCAAGGATAGTTATGTAGTTTAATCAAGTTGGGCCTCCGATGAATGGATTCTCGTAATAGCCCATTTTAAGTGGTCACACAAGATCCAATTAAAAAAGACTATAGTCCGTAATTTGCAACATCATTGATCGCCCATATACGGATATACCCAACAAATCAAACATCAATCAATATCTCTCTCGACTCTTAATATTCCAACGAGGTGATGAAAAGTTGAAGCCTAAGAAACTTTGGAAATACTGTAATTATGGAGTTGTATTATAGCATTAAGTATTTACGCAGAGAAGTACATCCTTGGTTTTCATCACAAATTCACAATAAACTATATACAAAGATATTCTCGAATATAAGTAGTAGCTAGGGAGTATAGATAGCACAAGCAACTACACGAGTTGTTAAATAAAGATACTTAGAATAATTTACAGTGTCACCCACAACACTAGATAGAAAGTGATAAAAAAAAAGAACTTCCTAGTTACCTAATTAGTTTCTTTGTACAAGCATGAGAGGCTAAGGTTCAATTCTCATTACTGAGCACACACTTTTAATAAGGATTTTCCTTACTAGTTACTTCCTTAGGATGCACCCCTTAATCTTACCCAAAGAAAATTCTACTTTCTTTATACATATATAGCAAACATAATTATCCTAGTTTTTCTAAAAAAAAGGATTAAAAAAAACTCTTTACAAAGAGATGCATGCATTAATTTAGTCATTAAAGTTGTCACTAAACCATTCTTCCTTCCATCCATTGATAACCTTGGCAATGAACGCCTCGATTCTCCTCTCTAAATCATAATCGTATTCTTCTTCTTCATCGTCATCATCCTCATCCCATCCTACCTCACCATCACTTCCATTGTCATCATCATCCTCGTTGTAACCATCTGAGCCATGATTATAATAATCATCGTTGTAATCATCTTCGTCATCACCCTCATCATAATAATAATCATCACCCTTTCGGCGGTGACTATCACCACCTTCCTTGTCATCCATGTAGACGTCATATAAGTCTTCATCATCGTCGTTGTTCATCTTTTCACCATGCTCCTCCTCCATCTCATAATCAAAGCAAATAAGAGGAGAGAACGACGTATCATGTTTGTTGGTCGATTGCATGTAGCATTCCTTGAGAATAATAGCAATAAGTATAAAGTTGAAAAGCAAATGAAGAAAAAGATTAGTAGAAAATTGTGTTTTTAGAAGATTTTGGTGTATTATTGGAGACAAAAAGTTAGTTGCTATTAAGAGAATGGTAGCTAAAAGGAAAGGCAAAAGTAAGAAGATAGAAATTCTAACACTAATCTTCATATCTTTATTCTAAGTTGCAAGAAAAATTACAACAATATATGATACGAAGTACAAGTATATGCTTAACTTCCAAGGTTTTATGCTGGTTGAAGAGGGGCCCATGCCAATATAACTAATTAACTATATAAGAGAATGTTGGTATTGAATTATATAATCAAGGTAATTTTCGTGGAAATTAATAGCTTAGGAATGTGCTTGGTAGTTACCGACAAACTTTAATTCATTAATGGATATTGTTTGGATTAGTTTATGATTTTGACGGTATTAGATTATAACTTTATACGTATGTAATGAATATTCTTGTTTGTTATATGTAGAGTACTAAGGTATTCAAGGGGTATAAATAAATTGAATATAATGTAGGGCGTATGTTTGACATTTTTATTTTAAAGGATTTTAATTATATATGTTTATTAACTGCATACCCTCTTGTTCTTAAATAGGAAAGAATTTTTAGGTCAAACTAATAAATTTTTGACCGTATATCCTCACCAAAACAATGCTATGATAGAGGGAGTAGTTGAGTTACTAACATATTACACATATATGAAGATTGATTTTAGTGATCAAAGTAATACATTTTTAATTTCTTTTTGGTTAGAAGTAGGTGTACGTACTACTAGACGGAATCCTCGCACAAGACAATCTAGCTCAATTTAGCGAGTAAGGTTCCTTGAAAAGAGATAGGGGTAAAGCTAAGGAATATTTACCATCAAAATGTCCTTATTAGCTACGATTCTAGGAAATGATAGTTTGATACCACAACCTTAGGGTTATGACTTGTGAGATACAATCCTTGCCGACAATATAATAGGCAATCAAGTACTATACAAAGTTTATCAAAGTAATGCATTATTGAAGACTAAATTAGAATAAAACAAATTTCTCATTTGTGGACATAAAGAGTATTTAATACGAAGTTATATATGTGTATATATCTACATGTTAGCATTCAACTTCATAATAAAGACATAAAGTAATATTGATAAGTTGATATTGACTTCATCATTGTGAAAAGTTCAAAAAGAAATTTAAAACTAATAAAGGTAACGTAAGATATTTTTGTAGGGTGATAGTTCGTATAGTTGATGTCCGATACTTGCGGAGCGAAGTAGTAATAGTGGAATTTCGAAGAAAAGCAGAAATGTGCCGTAAAAGTCGCAAAGTGATGACTTATGAATTGATGATGTAAAGATGCCGGCCCAAGCTCCTTGACGCCCAAGCTCACTCGTAGCATGCCTACCTCCCTCTAGTACTGTTGTTATTATTATTATGCGGAATTAATATTACGTACACTTATATTCGTATTGATGATCTATGATTTCATCTAGGTGGATCCTATAAGGATAACTTCTAAACATGTCTCAACTTGTTAATTTTAGAATAGTCATTATTAATACATTTGGAATTGTGTATTCGAAGATGCTTTTTTTCATGGTTGGACTTCAAACCATATAGCTTGAAGCTCATGCTATCAAAACCCGTTTGGGATTCTTTTAGGGTCTAAGTTCTCTAGTTTACGGTGTCTGAATTAATAATTACTCTTGACGTTAATGATAATAACAAGTGTCTATTAGTACTTTTATTAGATCTCATATTGGTATAATAATTATAACATAAGGTCTAAAAATTCCAACAAAACTAGTGATACGTTTGTATCATACATATGTTAGTAATCTTAGTATAATATTTATACCATGTGAGGTCTAAATGTATCAATAGACACTTAATACTATCATTTATAGAGTAGTTATTGGCGTAGACTTTCTCGGTTTTCTAATCTTTTCCCCTCACTCTAATAAGTCTGACTAGCAAAGATCAACTAGATTGCAAATCTAAGAGAATTGTTGATTCATAAAGGTAAAATTGGTATATTCTAGTGCAACCATTGCAAGTATGAATGCTATAAACTATTATTTTTAACCCATTAATTACGGTTCTAAAATTATCTTATAAGGATTTTGATGGGGTTGTACATGTTTCTGAACCTGGGTGTAAGATAGACTTGCAGCCCAAATTTAATTTCGACATCTAAATCAATTCTGATGCATGCCGTGTTTGGGCTTATTAAGGTTCAATTTATATAGTATATTGGTATTGTATTTTTGTAAATATATAAAGTTCATAAGCTACTAAAAACAGTGTTTTGGTGATTTAATTCATTCGAATTTTCGGATTGGATCAAAACTATGTAGCTCTTGATTAGATTTGAAGAAAATTTGGTTAGTATAGGACTCAAAATCCAAAGATCGAATTTTATTTCATATTGGATCATACAGTACTTGATTACTTGAGCAAAACACAAATTAAAAATCAACATTTCACTCCTACCCGGCTACCACTAATGATTTACTGCCATCAACTAAATGAACTAACCAAGGTGATTAGTTATCGCATTGTCAAAGTGGAGTCATCACTATGGATATTATATCACCAGTTAACAAGTCACTATTCAGATTTCACCTAAACACCAATTTAAAACTCGAAAACTATAAACTACGAATACGCTGCTTGGAAAGTTGGAATCTTAATGTTATTGGACACTTTGGATAATATACATAAACAATGGTTTTGGTCCTTTTGGAGCTATGAAAGTTACACAATTACTAATTTATAATCCACCATTTATTCACTCGTATATTGCTTCGCATTGACCTTTAATATACGGAGTAATTCCACTTTAACACTATTCACATACTCATTGTTGGAAAATTATCTGTTGATTTCAAGAAAATAATGAAGAATTATAGCACTTTCCTGGAACAAATTTGCCATACTCGAAACCAAAGACATGTCCTCCTACGGTTGTACCGTGGTTTGAGACCCATTGTCTTAGAAGCGAAATACACCACCACCGGTACAGATTTCCTAGTGTCTCACGCCCCCCCTCCCCCAAGCTTTACACAACGACCTCCGTAATCCGTGTTCAAATCTCAAAAGGCAGGTTTGTGTTTTTGTGTTTTAGTTTATTACCAATTGTCTCTCCAACAATAGTGAGAAGATTAGTATCTATATGGATGGAAAACCAAAGCTCAAAACACACAAACAACTACCCCGTAACCCTATTGGGCCTCCACACAATTTATGTGCATCTAAAGGGCTGCCGGCGCAGCGATGGAGATACATGACTTGAAGAACGCCACGGAAGGCTGCAGGCGCAACCCCATTTTGTTCGATTTGCATTACACCCAACACTCATGTTCATTTTGATCATTATGGGTTATTTTTTTTTAAAAAAAAAAAAAAAAAAAAAAAAAAAAAACAAAACATTTTCTTGTTGGATCTTGTTAGATACATCTCAATATGAAGTGTCAAAATAAAAGAAGTAACATTTTATAATTTTCACTGATCGACAGTTAATGATATTAAGGGTCAATGACAAGCGTGCACAACTTAACTGGAAAGACCAAGAAAATACAGAAGTACAATAATATCAGGTAAACATAAACGAAGTACTCTGTATTAATATCAAACAGAATCCCTGAGTACAAAAGAGTCGTTGAGATTTGCCATCAAACGTCCATGTGATAAATCACTTCAATTGACTTTTCAAGAGATTAGTTTTAAGATAATGATAATACACTAATGAAGACCAATAACCATTTTGCTCAGAATTTTGATGTCGTATGAACACAAGTTTATTCTACATAAATAAACACCTGTAGAAAATACCTATCTATTAAGTTAAGCTAAGACTAAAATTCCTACATAATCAAGGATTAACAAACCGCCGTCGTGAATAAGCACTTTACCTTGCAAGGGTGAATATCACACAAGGTTATACAAGATGTGACAAACAGAGGAGATGATTTTCATGGGCGATCCCAATAATTTATATATGGCCAGTAGTAATTAGTAGCATCTCTCTTGTTGCCAATCATCTAGGTTTCCTGTTCTTGGTTTCTAAGTTTTAACCTTCATGCATAGATTCATTGTGATCAGCTGAGCCATTCCTATTGTCTCCTTGGTAAGACGAGTACGTGGTACCTGAAGTGTGGTAACCTTGGCCCCCATAATTGTCCTGCATTCCTGTATTCGAAAAGTGTACGGTAGAAGCTGGTGGACCGCTGATTATGTAGTCGGATTTTTGTTTCTTTGGCTTCTGTTCGTGCTGGTTTCCAGCTAAGAAACTTCCTACCACAATCTGAAGGCAACAGAAAATAATTGGAAGAAGCTGCTGGTTAGTAGACTAGTAGTGGCCCAAATAATGTTAGGATCGAGGAGATAAAATAAATGCAAACCGTAACAGTGAATCATGGTAGTACAAATGTGGATTTGGAAGGTGAACTTAGTGGTGAATGGTGATTGTGGTCGTTATGGAAATAAAATATTGGATTGCGGTAACTTAAGGCTTGTTTAGACATTTGCATTACAAATAACATCGTTTGGCATTACCAGGCTGAATTGCAAAAAAATACATTTCCAAATTTTTATTTTGGTGTCACTAATAACCTCTACACTCTCACATGTATGTCCATTATATTGGCAATGTTGCTGAAGCAATAAATGGGATATTTAAAAAGTATATATGAAGGAAGAAGATGGTAAATACCTGCACAGGACTAGCAGCAACGAGCAAACCAGCTACACCACCACCTACAACACGACCATCTGGGCTTGCCAATGAAACACTCATCCCTCCTGATCTGTTCCTTATTCCACCACTCTCAGAAGGCATGAACGAGCCAGTTAAAGAAAGTATCTCAAAACGGCCCTGTTGAGACACAAAAGGTAGCAAAAAGTGTTAA